AAAGTTTATTATGATGAAAGCCCTTAATGACAGCCATCGCTAGGGGCCCATCATTTATAAAGCTGTGCTGAGTATTAGACATGTAGCATGACCACCAATTTTATGTCACAATTGCTACCATAAAATGACCTTTGGTGATTTTTGCTGCATGTGGTGGACAGCTCTTCCTTCACATTAGTGCTCTGTGGCTTTCTTTGCAGACTATTATGCTGTCTAAAGCTTATTTGGCACTGTCGTGAGCCTCAACCCTGGTTATTACCCCCGAAGGCCTGTCTAAAAAAAAAAAAAAAAATCTCATGCTCTATTACGCTACTCCAATAATTTGCAGTTCTTACCAGCCTTGGGCCGTGTAATATTTTAATGCAAATATGCTTTACCATTGCATTTTATTTATTTATTTATTTATTTATTTATTTATTTATTTTCCAAGTTTCTCATGTGTGATGCTGGCTAATGAAATATTCTCCTGCAGTTCACTGAAATCAGGCTTAGTACTTGGTCAGGTCTACTGACTGGGAACTGTTTATTCTGACCAGTTAAAACAGTGGCAGAAGGGGGAAAAAAGGTTAATTAAACTTGAGTTTTTTTTTTTTTAATCCCACGTGTGAGCCCAAGCAAAACCACCAGTTCTTCTTTCCCTGTATCCAAGCCCAATGCAAATTTACATCTGAGTAACATTATTTAATTAGGCTTCCATTTGTCACCCTTGCTTTGTATAGTTAGAGAGTGTTTGAATACATGGCCACTTTACTGCTCCTATGCAAACTGCTGTTGAGAAAGTGGCCTGTCCATGTTACCTTTAAATTGTGTATATAATTTTATAAATGATATAAAATCTGCTTCTAGTCTGGGGGGGGGGGGAGAACTACAAGCATGGCACACTGCAATTTTGGAAGGATTTAAAATATGTGATTTCTGTTGGTACCTACTGTATTGGGTTTTATATAAAGCTTTTTCAATAAGGTAAATTGTTACATGACAAACTCATCTTCCACCATTATCATCTGCTGTTTGTGTTTAACAACAGGAGTCCCGCTCTAACAAAACTGTTGTAATGGCTGCACAAATTACTCAGCTGAAAGCTTTTCACCAAACAAAACAGTATTAATCAGCAGTTCTTATGAAGGTGCTAATTAAAAACAATTTTCTTCCTCAGTTTGCAATACTAAAACCATCTTCACTTGCACAGTTTCCAGTATACAGCTACTGTATTTGCTCACACTTCAGGCCCTCCATTAACTATTGAATCTCCTATTAGCCATTTTATTACATTTCTGGTGACAAGCTTGTTGACATTTGAAAAGTCACATTATGATCTGTTTTATCTATTCAAAAAGTGTATTAATTGAAAAGTCAGGGAGACCAAAAAACAAAAAAAAAAAAAAATAAATACAGATTCCAAATGCACAGACCTCCTGAGTAGGATACACAGAAAGCCTTCAGCCCAGCCTGGGCAAACAGGCTCTCTGGATAAAAGAGAATCTGAGAATTCAAAGTGGCATTTCAGGCCTGATGATTTGTCAGGAATCCTCATGGGCTGGGCTCCTTTATAACTTGGAAATAGTCCACCCAGGAAAACAGATTTGCTCTGGGTACAGTCAGTCTGTCTTTCAAACTACTCCTCTTCTATGAGATATACTCAGTGTGATTGTGATGTTTCTGCAGCCTAAGACAGGGCTGTTTGTCCATGGAGGAGAATACTAGAGCTAAGACCCGGGCCACGCAGCCTAATCCTCCCAGTGACTGTGGTATGCATGCATATGTTCAGTGGGACTCTATTGGCCATGTGGGCATCCTACCCCTCCTCCAAAGCCTAGTGAAAGGCTTTGCCAAACAATGCTTCCCAATTGTCTGACATTGATTGGAATCAAATCAAGTGCTGACTAAGCACAAAGCCAAAAATCTCCAGAAGCTGAGTTGAGGGGAGGAGACAGTCCATTCCTATCAAAACAAAAACAATAACACCATCCCTTGGGAAAAGGTGTGCCTTATTATGGTAGTGGGGCGAAGAAAACAAAAACCCCAAACCCAAAACTCCCACCTCTCACCTATTGCATTAACCAGGTTCTTCAACTGTCAAAGGCACTTAACTAGTTAGGACAGACACCTGGCTGCTGGGACAGGGTTCCTAATCCTTCCTTTCACTTGGTTAACTGCTGGATCTCCCAAACTGATTCAACAGGTATGCAGTGGTAAATTCAGCCTCTACTGAAGCCAAAGAGAAAATCAGCAAGGGGCGGGCAGCTCTTCTCTGAAAACACCCGAGGAACCAGCCAGAAAAGCTTTTATGGCCCCGACAAGTTTTCTGCTGAATACTGAGCACCTAAATTACCCTTCCCTAATGGAAGTTACATTTTCATGCTCAGTCAAAAAGCCAACAAAATACACAATTTATACAAAATAGCAGCAACCTCTGAGGCAGTCTTTCTGAGCACCTTTATCCCAATCCACAGCATATGTCTTGCTATAAAATGAAATACATTTCTCATAACCAACTTGGTGGTGGCTGTTCCTATCACTGCTTTGCAACTGCCTGTGGACAGCATTACATGCATTCTTACACCCAACCATGTATACAAAAACAAAATCATGAGTTTTATCAGAAGATAAAATATCTATAAAAAAGAATATACTAATTTTTAACATTGTTTATTTTACATTATTTTTTTTTTACTTTATTGTAATATGTGTGTGTTGTCACAGTATGCATGTGGAGATCAGAGGACAGCTTTTGGAAGTGTTTTTTTTTTTTTTTTTCTTCTACCATCTGGGTCTTGGGGATTTGACTCTGGTAGTCTGGCTTGGCTGCAGCGCCTTCACCCGCTGCACCATCTCACTGACCCAAAATATCCTAATTCTTATGATTTCCCAGGCAGGAGAGCTTCTTTTGGAAACAAACACATGCACAATTATGTAGACAATTGTCAAATAGGCCTGTTCCATTGCAACTATATAATCTAATACTAATGCACAGGAATAATCATAAAATTCATCAAGAAATATAAATGGATAAACTTTTTACAGTTGCCTTACTTTTCCTTCTCAATATCTGCATTCTATTAAAAATGCAAAAACTAATTAAAAAACACTTTTCACATGTTCAATAATGTAACATCAGTTTCATACAACTTTGAGATACTTTCAGGTAAGGATTCCATAAAGAACACATCTATGAAACCCTGAACATGTGACAGGAGACCTAGAGGCCATAATCATACCATAATAAATATATTCTTTACTGGGTATCTTTTAGTAGGAATAGCTCAGTTTTGATACACTGTTCTCAGATACTTCTAGAAAGCACACTATTAGT